TCCAGGCCAGTATAGGCTGTAGTTAAAACTCTGTCTCATTGATTAATTAATATCCAGCAGGCAAACCAAAATTTTCACAATGGGTCAGCCTTCATGGCCAATCTAACTCATTTTCAAAATGGATTTCTATCTACCTGTCATGCTTTTCATTTTCCAGAGGATAGAAACTTCTCAAAGTTTGTTTGTAAATAGTTTAATTGAAGCACCTTGACAAAATAATATTTTAGGATCTCTTTCTCACCCTTCTTCTCCACACATAATTACTGTTTTCTTTTTTTTGGTCAGTCATGGGGCTTGAACTCTGGACCTAAGCGCTGTCTCTCATCTCTTCAGCTCAAGGTGAGCACTCTACCATTGGAGCCACAGTGCCACTTAAGGTTTTCTGAGTGGTTTATTGGAGGTAAGAATCTCACGGACTTCCCTGCCCAGGGTGGCTTTGAACCTCGATCCTCAGGTCTCAGCCTCTTGAGTAGCTAGGATTATAAGCATGAGCCACCAGCACTCGGCATAAGTCCTGTTTTCAACATCCAAGAGCTATGTACTGCCTAAGAGCAAAAATCCCCAACTCCTGGGCTGGAAGTCAACTCCTTGAAAGATCCTTGTCTCAAGAACACTTCTAAGCCAGGCACCAGTGGCTCACATCTGTAATCCTAGCTACTCAGGAGGCTGAGATCTGAGTATCGTGGTTCAAAGCCACCCTGGGCAGGAAAGTCCATGAGACTCTTATCTCCAGTAAACCACTCAGAAAACTGGAAGTAGCACAGTGGCTCAAGTGGTAGAGCGCTAGCCTTGAGCTGAAGAGCTGAGGGACAGCGCCCCGGCCCAGAGTTCAAGCCCCACGACCAACCAAAACAAAAAACAACATTTCTGAAGGGATTCCTATTTTGCTCTCAGCTGATATTAAATGGAAAAGAAAATATCCCTTTCCCTTTCCATTATAAGATTCTGTGAGACACACCCAATTTCACCTCTTATTGTTTTCTGAAAAAATTATTCCCTGGATGTACCTTCCCCAACCCCCATAAAAAGCTTAAAAGGAATGCTGTTTCAGACAAAAATATATACAGTTACTATTTCCTGAGGATAAAAGGGAAAGAACAATTTCTTCCTATGCCAAGTAAGAAACCCAAATGGAAAGATTCTACAAGAGACACTTTTTCACGGCCTGAATTCTACATCTTAAATTTATTTGAGAGGTGTTTCATTCAGAGTAATACAAAATACTTTCAATTCTCTTTCTTCTATCAGTACACTCAAATTCACACAAATCATTTCTTTCTCTTCCTAACCATCCAAACTTCCTAACATTATTCTCCCTACTAGACAGAGCAAATATAAAAATCTACTGTGGCAGGGGCAGATTACCTCACAGCCCTTCATAAAGATATTTTCTCGAGAACCACTCCCACCATGAAGATGGCACTTGCCTGTTATTCTACTCTATAGGCTTCAACAAATCATGCCTGATTTTCAGGTCTAATTTATCTCAGTCTCTGCACCTGGGGCATCTGTTTTCACAATGATGGAACAGTCCATATCATTTCAGATTCTTTCTTTTTTTTTTTTCTTGAGGGTACTATTCTGAGTCAGGATATAGACCTAATGAAGTTTTTGCCCAAATAAAGTAAGCTTTATAATTTAATTAGGGCATTATGTCTCTATTTGCCTCTTAGAAAGATTCAGAAATTAAAACAAAAATAAGAGCTTACTTAAAATTAACAATGATTCTGAGCCCTTCCTGTGATATAAACTCTCCTTTCTCATGTTACACCAAGGAGAAGTAAGCACATGAGAATTTGGGGAAATAAAAGTCTGCTTACATAGTGAATAAAACCTAATTCTCAGACTATGGCCAAGAACTTCAGTTAATAGTCCTTAAGGAAAACAGTATCATCTATCAGGGTTCGGTTTTTTTTCCCCCAAACAACTAATCTTCCCTTGAAACTAAAGTTACCTTCAGAAATATATACAAACCCTTTCATTTTTTTCTCCTCTCCTTTCTCTGTTCTTCATTCTTTGACTAAAAGTCCACTAATACCAGGTACCAATGGCTCAATGGTTGTAATCCTAACTATCCAGGAAGCTGAGATCTGAGGATCACAGTTCAAACTTAGCCTGGACAGAAAAATCTAAGACTCTTATCTCCAATTAGCCAGCAAAAAAAAAAGCTGGAAATAATCCAAGTTTCTCACCTATAACCCTAGCTACTCAGGAGGCTAAGATCTGGGGATCACGGTTCAAAGCCAACCAGGGCAGAAAAGACCCTGTGAGACTCTTATCTCCAATTAACTACTCAAAAATTGAAAATGGCACTGTGGCCCAAAGTGGTAGTGTGCTATCGAGCAAAAGAGCTCAAGGAAAGCACCCAGGCCCTGAGTTCAAGCCCTACTATTGCCAAAAATAAATGTTGGAAATAGAGCTGTGGCTCAAATGTTAGAATACCAGCCGTGATCTAAGAAGCTAAATGAGAGAATAAGGCCCAGGATCAGCACTAAAAAATAAAAATAAACAAGCAAGCAAGCAAAGTAGACAAAGCTTCTGGGGGAGGCTGAGGCTGGCTAACTTTGAGGTGGATGAAAGCTACAGGAACTGAATTCCTTCCAGTGTTGCAGGACCAGTCTGGGGGAGCTACTGGAGACAACTACAATGAAAGCACAAGGCAGGGAGGATTATGGCCTCTTAGGGCAATGGAGCTGGCACATGGTACCCACGGGATGTGGGAGTGAGCAGAGGGCATACACAGGGCAGGTGAGAAAAAGTCTGTGCACCACACCCCGAGTTGAGACTTCAGTCCATTTATGTGGGAAGCCAGTGAAGAGAAATGGCCAAACAAAACCCAGCAAGAACAAGACTTGTGGTTCACAATGTTCCCCTAAATGTTCAATGAGGTTTGGACCCTGACTGATGGTAAAGCTTCTCATGGTAAATATATAAATATATTAAAAAGACATGTACTAAGTATTCTGAATTGACAGGATCTGTGCCAAGCACTTGGTTCTGCATCACTAGCCATTTTCAATAGAGCTGCAGAAATCATCTGTGTTACACAAACCAGGAAACTAAGACTTAAAAAGATAAAGTCTCCCATCTAAACTCAAGAACTCTCAAGCAGGGCTGGGAAGGTGGCTCAGTGGTAGAGCGCTTGCCTTGCATGCCTGAGGCCCTGGGTTCCATTCCTCAGAACCACATAAGCAAAAAGAAAAAAGCCAAAAGTGGCGCTGTGGCTCAAGTGGTAGAGCGCTAGCCTTGAGCTGAAGACCTGAGGGACAGCGCCCAGGCCCAGAGTTCAGGCCCCACGACCAGACCCAAAAAAAAAATTACAATGTTATGATATTTAGCCAGGCATTGCTGACACATGCCTGTAATCCTAGTTACTCCAAAGGTTGAGATATGAGGACTACAGTTCAGAGACAATCTGGACAGACATTCTTATCTCCAATTAATCAGCAAAAAGAAGGAAATGAGCCAAGGCAGAGTAGAAGAGCTCTAGCCTTGGGTGAAAAAGCCAACGAAGAGCATGAGGCCCTGAGTTCAAGCCCCAGTGCTGGTACATACATACACATATGCACATACATACATGTGCACATGCACACACACACACACACACACACACACACACACACACACACACACACTATAATATTCACTTTTAAAAACCTGGTATAGGTAGTCTATTCCAATAGCTATACATTTCCATCTAAATCCCACAGAAAAAAAGCTAATGATTCAAAATATAATTTACAACAAAAAGAAAAAGATCAGTATGTCATCTTAGAATCTTTCAGAAATGGCAAAAAATCTATGACTTTTTTTTTTTTTTTTTTGGTCTGGTCATGGGACCTGAACTCTGGGTCTGGGCTCTGTCCCTCAGCTCTTCAGCTCAAGGCTAGGGCTCTACCACTTGAGCCACAGTGCCACTTCCGGCTTTCTTCTTTTTGCTTATGTGGTACTGAGGAATCTAACACAGGGCCTCATGCATGCAAGGCAAGTGCTCTACCACTGAGCTACCTTCGCAGCCCAAAAATCTACGGCTTTTAAATAATAACCTGATTGTTGAAAATATATAGTTTCTTATGTGTTTTTGAGGATAATGTAATAGCCTTGCTCTATATTAGCCAAGTTTATACAACTCATAAGATTTGCTTCAGGTTATCAAATTTTCAAAATACAACACAAATATGACCACACACACACACACACGTGCGCGTGGGCTCCAGATACTACCTTTGCATCTATACACATAATTCATGCCTCTGAAATATCATTTTCTAACTGTTAGAGCAACATAAAGGCAAGCATTTAAAATAACTTATGCAATGGGCTAGGAAGTTGGCTCAGTGGTAGAGTGCTTGCCTTGCATGCATGGGGCCCTGGGTTCAAGTCCTCAGCACCACATAAGCAGAAAAGGCTGAAAGTGGCGCTGTGGCTCAAGTGGTAGAGCGCTAGCCTTGAGCTGAAGAGCTGAGGGACAGCGCCCAGGCCCAGAGTTCAGGCCACATGACCAACAAAATAATAATAATAATAACAATTAATACAAGATAAAAAGTAACTGGAAACAATGCCAACCAAAGTATAGTCAATTAATTTTCAATGCACATAAAACATAGGTATTCACAGCAAGAAACAAGAAATACCAAATTCCTTCCAGGATTCCTTCCTTTCCTAGAGAAGTGAACAAGAAAGACATTTATGAACTGTGCACTGTAAGGTTTCTACACTTAGAAAAACGCACACATATTTTACAGACCATCAGAGAGACAGAAACCAACAGAACTTTGTGAGGAGAGGGTAAATGTGCCACAGTCTCTGGGTGTAACCTCAGACTGAAATTACCTTGCAGAGAAATCTGGAGGTCATCGATGCCCAGGGAAACCTGCTCCTCCGTGGGAATCTCAGGAGCAGAGGCCATCCTCAGATGCAATGGAGGTTAGCTCAAGTCCATCTCAGCCAAAGAAATGAACTGAAAGTGAAAACAAGGCAAGTGGCCATTAGCAATTCTGCAGCTCTGTTCTGGAAAACAGAAAAACAACAGCAACCAAAGACAGCCTGACCAAACAAGGATTGCTTTTCTG